CCCTTCATGCGCGTCACTAATTAGATGACGAGGCATTTGTCTACCTTAAGAGAGTCATAGTTACTAGCTTTGAAGTCTTAAGCTAGTAAGTAGCCCAAAGACCAGCTGTCAAAATAGAGGAATCCCTATCAATTCCAACTATAGCTTACTTCTCCATGTTATTGAGCTAATGGTAACTGATGAGTTCTTTCTTCTTGGATCCATAACAGCTGATCTTGCAGGGATAATGACAGACCGATTCCCAATCATTACAAATGGATCTGTGTGACACCTCATCAGTACTAGTGATGACAAGGAATACCTGATGGTCAAATTGAAAGAAGCAAAGTCCAAGATCCATTAGTGTTCTACTGGAAGTGTGATAAGTCTTTGTCACTCAGGAAAGGTATCATATCCCACTTTTAGAAAGACCACAAAATCTTGCATCCCAAGAAAGTTATCCCAGTGCTCATGTTAGCTGTAAAGAAGGAAAAAACCTTTGTTCTTCTTCTTTCTAAATATTAACTGCAATACACCTTTCATTTTGTTAAGTCGCTGTATTCACAGGAAGAAGATACGTCCCATAAAATTAAGAGACTTTGTTGAATTTTGATTTTGTGGTTGTAGTGTTTGTAACTTCTGTACATTTAATTAAATTATTGTTATTTATCTATTGGTTTAATGTAAGTGGCTATTGTTCGGGACGAAAATACTAAGGAAGGGGCAGTGTTACGACAGCGAAAGTCATGTGACGCTAGTAACACGTCATGAGCTTCTAGAAAATTCATGTCCGTTCGTGAAGCCTCGAGTGTTTACTAGTTGTGCGGTATTCTTGTATATAAGACCGCCAAGAAGTGACGGCAACAAGGGAATTGAATTTCAGACAGAGATAGAGACGGACAGTTGAGTCAAGCGCGTGGATCGTTCATTGTGAATTATAGCGTTTGTTTAAGTTATAGCGTCACTGTGGAAATTAAGTGAATTTCAAAGTTGTATTGAGAAAGAATAAACTAGTTTTATTTAAGAAAGGACTTGTATCACTAAAGTTTCTTCGGAAAGAATTTTTTACGGAAAATTAACAAACGAACAGAGACGTAACAGTATATATATATTCAATAAACCAACTTATGAACATTACAAATCTTTCGAAGACATTGCTGTATAATTTCCATTATGGATTCATGTAGACAAAGTGAAGACTTAAATTATTATATCAACATACCAATTATTATATTTACGAGATAAAAACGGTCGATCTATATAACGTTTGTTTGTTTTTTGGGTTACCAACGACCCATCACATTATAATGCCCCTACGGATGAAAGGGCGAGCATGTTTGGCGTTATGGGAATTCGAACCTGCGACCCAAAGATTGCGAGTCGAGCACCCTAACCACCTGGCATGCTGGGCCGTCATACATAAAGATATAAATATAAACTTTAATTTACTTGGTACAATAGACTATCCAAAAGATAACTCTTATGATGTTCCATTAGTAAACAAAAACGTCTTGGGTAAAATGAAAGATGAGAACATTAAAAATATAATGACTGAGTTTGTAGGGCTAAGATCTAAGATGTATACTTTAATAGTGCTGTTACATATCTGGTCGTTTATTAATTTCCGGTATAAATTCTTCCCTAGGAACTTCAGCGATACAAGAGCTTTCTTAAATAAAACTAGTTCATTCTTTCTCAATAGAACTTTGCAATACACAGAATTTCCACAGTCACTTTAACTTCAACACACGCTATAATTCAAAACGATTCACGCACGTTACTTATGGTCACTACCGCTCCTTGACTCGATTATCTGTCTCAATCTCTATCTATCTCCAATTATTAACTCCACTTTATTTGCTGCCGTTATATACTAAAATTGAGGGCGCCTAGAAAAGACTAGAGTTGCCAGGAACAGTCATGATCGTTTTAGAAACTCCAGCGTCACGTTACTTCTGCTGTCGTAACACTGCCTTTTCCTTAGTATTGTTCGTCCTGAACAATAGCCACTTACATTAAACCAATAGATAATTAACAATAACTTAATTAAATGTACAGAATTTACAAACACGTATCTTCTTCCGTACTGGTCTCCATCTCGTTGGCTTCTACTTCACGTGGGGTTCATCTGCTCCATCAGGAAATGTCCTATTATCGGTAACAGTCACATCAGTGGTAGAAACTTCGTCATGGGCTTCACTGTTTCCCTTCTCAAAACCAAGTAGAGTTTCTTCTTCGACAGTGGCTTTTTCAGGTGACACATCTTCAGCAGCATCATTTGTTCCATTGTTCCTTTTGTTCCAACTGAAATGTCCTGGACCGTGATAACGCCAAAGCCTGTTGGCATGCACCACTTTTGGCTTACCTCGCCGACCACATTTTATCCGGAAAGTCACGTCTGAGAGACGATCCACTATGTCATATGGGCCTTCCCATTGAGAAGACAACTTAGGAGACTTCCCTTTGGTCTTCCTGGGATTATAAAACCACACCTTGTCTCCTGGTACAAAGCTGACTTCAGTAGATCTCTTATCATAACATAGCTTCATGGAATCAGCAGACATTTTCAAGTTTTAATGCACTTGATGGTGAATATCATCCATCCTTTCAGATAACACTTTCACGAACTCTGACACATTTTCAGGCAACTCTTCGTAAGGTGGGCGTCTTGTTATCAGATCCACTGACAACCGTAGTTCCAGACGAAACATCAGCTTTGCTGGAGTGTATCCAGTGGCTTCATGCTCTTCTGTTCTATAGGCCATCAACTGTGGAGGGAGTAAGATATTCCAGTCATCTTGGCAGCTATTACAAAACTTTGCCAATTTCTGTCCCAGTGTCCAATTGTACTTTTCTATCATCCCATCAGACTGTCGGTGAAGTGGCGTTGTCCTGCACCATTCATGGAACACAGCTGATTCAAAGTTACGACCTTGATCTGAATGCAGTTCATATGGCATACCAAACCTGAAGAAGAAATCACTAATAGCCGAAGCTACAGTTGTAGCTTCTTGATTTGGTATTGCATATGCCTCAGGCCACTTGGTGAAATAATCCATCACCACACAAATGTACCTGTTTCCAGCACGAATTTGGGGCAGAGGACCAGCAAAGAATACCATCTTCAAGCTTCAACTGGTCCCATTGTGCCCAATAGTTCTTTGTCACAGGGTTTAGACACCTTCTCCCAAGCAGGGCTTCAAATCTTGATCTTTCTCCTGCTCTTCTTTAATATCTATACCTGGTTCCACTTCACCATCATCAACTTCTTCAGTCACTTTGACTTCAGCTTGATGGTACCTAGTTAGTTCAACCTCTCTTTTAACAGTTACTGGAACTTGGCCTTTGTTGTTCCCAAACGCCATTTTATCAAAATTAATTACAACTTCCTCGGTAGTAAGTAGTCCAACCCTAATATGAATTGGTCGTCAATGTCAGCCAAGTATACTTTCTGCCTGTTCTTCATGCCCATGAGCTCAATAGTTACCCACACTGGTCCCCACAACCTTGCATAATACCCTGTCACACCACAGAGCTTCTGTACAGCTTCTGGTACTCCTTTGTTATCCAGCACCTTGATGCTCACAAGGGTTTGCTGAGATGCAGAATCTATGACTAAGTTGCACCTTTGGCCATCCAGCTTTCTTTCACGTAGACACTATGTGTGCTTGTCATTTCACAGTTAGCTGTTGGGACTTTAACGATGGGGATTGGTGGGCGTCCCTCAGCACCAACCATTACTGGTTTCCAGTAGCTGACTTATTGGTGGTATTCTTCTTACACTGATCCTCATATGTCTTTGCTCTCCACAGTTCTAACAACCTTTCTGGGTAGCAGCCTTTCCTGCCGTGGCATATTCCCTGTGTTGAAGTTGCCAGCATTGAGCTTTCTTGTGCCCAGGTTTGTTACAGTGCCAGCAAAGTCCCTCAAACCTCTCTGAAAGCTGCCCTTGGTACCTCTGTGCTGGACTTAACGTAAGATTCAAATTCAAGAGCTCTGGCCATTGCATCCTGCA